TATATGTAGTGTGTGTGTGTGTGTGTGTGTGTGTGTGTGTGTGTGCGTGTGTGTGTGTCTGTGTTTTTGTGTGTGTTTGTGTGTTTGTGTACGCACGTATAACGCAAGCATCGTAAGTTGGGTTGTTACAAATTATTTTTGTCAGCATTAGTTGTATGTATTTGTAGAAGTAAAACAGTGATCGTATTTCACTGACAATTCTTGAACGAAGTATGTTGTTGTACAGTGAATAACGTAACAAAATAATATTGGTAATTAATATTATTCTTTGTATTGGATTCTGCCTCAGATTTATCAGCTGGACGACTTTGATGCTATCAAATACTACAAACGAGAGGTGAAGTTGCTCATGTAAGTTGGGTTGTGGAGTCCAACGTCAGAGTTTCATGCCTTTGAATATCTCAATTTTGAAATGGAATAAATGCAAACTACTTTTCGAGATGAGGCCTTTCCTAAGCAGAGCCTTTCACGCCGAGATACAAATTGACAGCATTCTATTATAAAATTTCACTACATCCAGGGAAGCGCGTCATCCAAATGTTCTGCAATATATTGGCCTGTGCGTCGATAATGATAAAATGTACATCGTCACAGAGTATCTTGGTGGAGGGACTTTGCAAGAGTACATCAATGGTAGGTGGTGTGTGCAATAGTTTTGTTCGCTTTGTCTGTTGTAATTCTAGCCTCATTATCAGTGGGGGAATGTTGGGCGTACGTCGTGGCCGTCTTTTTAAGCACAACTGTTGTCCCAAACTGTGCTTGCCATAATCTCTAACCAGTCGTGAGCCTATCAATATGTCTCTTTCTGGTGTCAAGTATTCATATCGGGGTGTTTATATACAGACTAATACGCTACGCATACCTTTTTAATGTACAGATGCTAGCAGAGTTAAAACATGGCATCAACGGGTGAGCTTTGCGATTGACGGTGCGCGAGCGCTTGCGTATATTCACATGAAAGGAATTACCCACAGGTATGCATTTACCATAATTTACCATACAACCCTTTTCTTTACTTTGAACGGCAATCGATTACCTCAATATCGCCTGCCATGGTACATTTACTTTCTGTGCGTTAGTCTCCGTTTCGGCAACTCAGCAAGTTATTTTTTTATCACCCTGGTTCTCTATACAGAGATCTGAAGAGTGAGAATTTTCTGCTCACCGAGAACAACAGGCTGAAACTGACTGATTTTGGCCTCAGCCGTAAGATATCAACTATGAAAGATGATCGGATGAGCTACTGTGGAACGGAGTATATGCAAGCACCAGAGCTGCTTATGGTAAGACGATAGTGCTATTTTTTTTTCACGCATCCAGAATGTACTTAATTGCTGTACCTCTGCCAGTCGATGATTTGGCAGCGCGTTGCGATGCCGATGGACGCCTGCACAAATCTGCACAATAGGGACCATCTCAGTTCTAAGTTCTATTGATTTCTTCCCTACTTATTATTTTAGTGTATTGATTTCGACCACCGTGTGGATGTCTTCAGTTTTGGACTGGTGCTGCTCGAACTCATACTAAATCAAACCCACAGCGAGGATAACCATTTGCTGGATCGAGACTTCCGTACAGTATGTAGCTGCCTGGACCGCCTGCTTCCCTATAGGGTGCACAAACTTCGCGTCTCGTACCATATCGCATCTTGTGTAAAGTACATGTGAAGCATTAACACTGAGATATACTCAACCCCACGATTTGCCTCAACTGCGGGCACGGTTTCATACGCTGCAAATACCGAATAACATGTCGGCGCGTTGACTTAGAAGTGGTAACAGGACTGCGAGTACATTGCCCGTTTACTCTCTACTCCCCATCTTTACATTCTTAAATAGCTCGGACTGAAGCTAGACGATGTCAAAGGGAGTATCCCACATGATTGCCCGACCGAGCTGACTGAACTCGCCCTGCTATGTTGTTCTGTTGAAAAGGAAGAAAGGCCTTCATTCAAAGAAGTAAGAAAAATCACCATGTATTGCGATTTTTGGTATATTGGTGGAGAAATACTGACCCCAGAGACTGAACAGACTCATGTGTCGGACATAGCGCAAATCGTAGCCAGAGTTCTTGTTCCAGAATATGGGGTTGTCTATGGTTTGCTTGTTCTTCCATTCCCAGTCAATTATTTTGTCTTTGCCAGAGTAAAAAAGTGGCTGGGTCGTGGTGATACATACCATTTTCCTATTCGCTTAAAGTTTATGAGCGTAAACTTTAAATATCATACATATGCGTTGCGAGCACTTGGATACCGTATAAAGTAACACATCTACGCGTGAACATACGCAGATACTGGCTAAGTTGAGGCATATAGAAGCTCAGCCTCCCAAGGAGAATACGAATGTCGGAGCACTCGCACAGGTCGACTCCACGGGCAGCAACGTATCCCTCAGCGCAGAGTATGTGATGTGTGTGTAGTTACAGATCGCATGTAAGGGGTCGTGTATCAGTCTCGTCATACGAACTTTGACTGTACGCCCTAAAGCAGCACTAACACACAGCGTGCCCGGAAATCGTATTCAACGTACAACCAGATCCGGATGCCAAATCTCCACATCAGATATTTGTTCACGGTCGGGATCAGCGACGGTCACAATCCCAGAAAGAGGCGCATCGACACCACAGATCGAGGTATATTCGTTGCTTGTACGTTAAACCACTTGGTACATATCTGATCAGATCACAGGCATACATTCGCATTGCGAATACAGCATGCGATATTATGCCGCATTGAGAGGGTGCGGGACAGGGACATACAACCGTGAAAGTTCAACATGAGATATGCTTCTTTTGGTACCACCCATACAGTTTGCACCCGTCAACCGCCCGTCCTCTGTGCCGCCAACGGGGGCCAACACGGCAGTCCTACCCGACATCTCCAATGAAACTCGCTCTGCGTCTCTCAACAGCATACACAACACAGCACCCAAACGCGCACCCAGTACTATAAAGAGGACTGCACGACATCACATACCGCACCGCTTCTCCATCATAAATAAATCCACGCGTATCGCCGTCCTGGGCGAGATGCTGACCAGAAGTATGTTGTTCCACTGGAGTGTTCAGAGTGTCGAGGTTCCTCGCTTTTCCGGTTTTGTCTGTAAAATACACAGCTCACGAAAACTATGATATATGTACATGCCTCCAATACCGTCAGAAGTAGCTGGTTGATCTATGGGTCTGGCGTATAAATGCTACTGTGGATACAAGCACTGACGCAATCCCAGTACTCTATGTTCTGATATAAACTTGCGCGCAACAGGGAAAACTTGCGCAGGATGTAAATTAGAGATCCCAACGTCGAAGAAGGCCATGAAATGTGATGGTGGGTTACATTTAGACCTAATAGTTGCCTACAGGTCAAACTCCCACAAGCACAACTACATTTAGAACCATAATTTGTGAGAACTTTTTGTGTGTGCACGTTTTATTGAAACCCTTCGTCGAATTTACACTAGTGCTATTGTTAAAACTTCTCACTCTATTTATATTTGTATCCCATCCGATGCAGACTGCGACATATTCACCCATGTCAGGTGTTCTGTCAACATGCCTGCCAGTTGCCAACTAAGCCCAGGCCTAGAGAAAATGGCTTTAAGCCAAAATGCGATGAATGCCGAGCACAATTCATCGCACAGCGCAGTCTCATTCAACCCAGTGACGACCGCCATGTCGCCCGCCCATAGTCGCAGAGCCCCGCCATAGCCGAGATTTTGATTGTATATTGATTGCGTCCTAGTGGGACGAACTAATAAAGCCGCAGCTATGTTTGAAATTTGGAGTACCGAGACCCATTCAAGTACACACAATTTAAACGACACCATACCCTGGCGTCCTTCCGCATCAGGATAATTCGATAGCCACCTGTGATGGTCATCCTTATCGTATTGCAATTTCGCCTACCATGGCGTAGAAAGAGACCCCCACACCGTCCTGAGGGACCTCGACACAACCCGACCTATAGCCTTCGGCGCAGCCAGACTACGAAACATCAGTCAATCATTGACATGCCTTGTCTCTGCTGTGCTCAATAATTCAGCTCAGCAAAGGCAAGGCATGAACAGACAGCCCGAGATCAGCGATGACGCAGTGGCCACTATGGCCACGATGAGACCCCAGCCAAAATCACACCCCGTCATATCCCATGCACCTGCAAAAAGAGGGACAGGGAATTGAGGACAACATAAGAGATATTCCTCTTACCACAAAGGGGTTTTGAGCCTTGAAAACTGTGCGAGCTAGTGTTAGTGTGCGAACTAGCTGAATTATCCAGCTTTAGCTATCTTCCGAGTTCAATAATAATTTGGCTAGTGATCTAGGCGGTTGGGGAATATAGAAATGCCCTGTGTATGACAACTGATATATAATCATGCATGAAGTGGGTGCTGATGCACGCAGACAAAGATGGAGAGTCTGTATTGCGGATATTGAGGTCCATAACCGAGCGGAATCTTCTACAAAGTTACTACTAAAACATGATTTAAAACATAACCTAGACTCCTTGATGAAACTGAAAAGCGCACATTGCGAACTACAATCTAGTGACTAAAGCCGAAAGTGTACCGATTAGCACATTTGGACGCTCGCAATCGACAGGCTAATACCATACCTGAACCAGGGCAAACTTGGTCCCCTGAGAATTTGATTTCGCCGAAAGTCGCCGATACCAGAAGCAAAGCGGCGAGGAAGCATCCAGTTGTTAAGAAGAGCAGACACGCTGTATAGAACGACAAGATGAAATAGATATTCGATGATGGTATATACTATATATTCTTTGAATTTTAAGCCGGAACGTAATTAAACCCTAAGAGATGAACCTAAATAAATCTCAATATGTACATTGAATCGAGGTTCTAAGTGTCGTTGTGCGGAAACTTCAGGACACATACTTAAGGGTACAATAGCCACGTGTTGTTTTTGGATGCCCAGCTGCCGTATATTGTTGATGGATGCACAGTAGCCATATATTGTTGTTAGATGCGCAGCACCCATGAGTCGTTGTTAGATGCATAGCAAGCTCATGTTGTTGTTAGGTTCACAGTAACCACGTGTTGTTATTAGATGTACAGTAACCATGTATTGTTATTAGAAGCACAGTGACTTCGTGTTTTTGCTAGATGCACATGAACCTCGTGTGGATAATCAATAAAAACATAAATCAGACCCTATTGATAGTCGCGGTGAATGTGTGTACATACTTAGCTCAATGAAAGTGAACCAGCATTTACATTTAACAATGATCCAAAACATGTATACTTGCGCACATATCGAATCTTCGCCCATGTTTGTCTAACCACTTTGCACATAGATATTTTTTGATACTCGAATGCATATGTATAGGACACAGTGTAAAATATAAATGATAAAAAATATTACTGAATTCATGAACTAGATTACAGGACGCTCCAACAAGCGCAACAAACCATACCGTCGACTTGTATAGTATATAAACAATTACTTAGCTTTTGTACTTTAGGGGGTTACTTATATGTACGCTACCTGTTCAGTGTCGTTTAAACAAAACTTATCTGGTTATTGACATCCTTAGCTTTTGGCTTTCAGGGGTTTACTTATATGTACGCTACCTGTTCAGTGTCGTTTAAACAATACCTATCTGGTTATTGACATCCTTAGCTTTTGGCTTTGGAGGGGCTTACTTTTATGTACCCTACCTGTTCAGGGTCCTATCTGGTTATTGTCATCCCAAAATTTACTCTCATAATTGTGTATATCAGCGTATATAACCAAACATTTAAGCTTTGTAGAAGCCATTTTAACTTTTTTATGCTCTGTATACACACGTGCAAACGCGAGTAAACCAGCACACTTGCATCTGGACCGGAGAGTTTAACGCGATAGATACCAATCCTGATCTAATTTGTGACAAAACATCTTCGCCTCTATGGCAACATACATACCATTGACAATAGCAAACGGAATCGACAAGCAGCAGATGCAGCAGAGTCCCAGACAGCATGTGAGCAATCCAAAGAGGAATGCTACCACCGACGCCAACGATCCCACACTCCACAGTCCCAAGGCCCATTCGAACTGATTTGAAATGATATCGAGATTATAAGCGACTAGGTGAGACTGTTGCTTGACCGGGTAATATGTACAAACATGCCAAGGGGACTGCGGTTTCCTGGAAAATGTATTATATTTTTAAAAGTATAAATATATAACATTGTTGGAAAACTATTTACCCAAATTCCATGAACTCAAAATGTCGTACATCGACCAAAAAATAAAGCAAATGGCTGCGCATCAAGACTTACGTCAGGATATATTGCTACAAGTCTATTTACACTCGTCGCGCATAAACATTAAAACACACCAGTATGATGCGATAAGTGGACTGATCAGGACGCACATACGCCTGTGCAATAACTCTACTAGAATTTTTGCCCCAGGCTCTCACCGGAAGTACTACTAACACCCATTGTACGCTGAACTAAAATGAAGCCATCGTCAGCCACAAACTTACATTTTGATCGGGGAAGGGGTATGCTCCGTCGTTATCCCAAGTTGTTTTTGACATGCCAGATGGCTGTATGACGATGACTCCTGCTCGATTCTGGCTATCAGAGGAGGTGTGTACCCAGTCTTCGGAGAACAGTGCGGCCCAACTGAGAGCCACCACCGCCGCACAGAACACCACGCCTATAGTAGCAGAAACACTGAGGAAATATAAAGCAGTCATAATGTGTGAGAGTTGCACAAGAGAATACACGGAAGCTTGTCAGGCGGTGGCAAACAACGACGATTTACATATAAACTAACGCCACACTGGCTAGTAACTAAGAGCTAAAGCCTCATATTTGATGACCGCTTTAGTGTGAAAGCAGAACAGTATTCAGTTAATACTTGTCAGTTCCTAGCTGATATACTGTTTCATCCTGAAGCTATTCTAACATAGACTCAAATATTTATCGCTAGCACGATGCCAACTTTTGGCATGGGCTTGACTAGAAAACGAAAAAGATTGCGCCCGCACGGTCAACTACACGCTGGTAAACATTCTGAAAAGGGATACAGTTGAATTAAATACAATGTATGCACTTAAACCTACTACGAGCGAGCGAGCACATTTAAACTTAATACATGAGGTTACATACATAAGCGACACGCTACTTACCCCATTTTCGTAAGTATGTACTTGTGCAATTCGTGAACTGAATTCGAACTCGTGGGACCTCCTGACTATATGTTTTTCGAGTATGTACCTTGCATCAAAGTATTGTCATGACAATATGTAAATATTCATGCGTGTCGTGAAATTGAAAAAATATAAATATATTTTTCTTCAAACATTTTCAAACATTTTACATAGCTCCGGCCTCCGAGTCCGTCACGGCGTCACCGTGTCAATATTTTTATCACTGGCTCAGTCACTGATCAGTGCCTCAACATTTTTCGATTTTCTTCAGATCGCCAGCAGATTGACCCTAGTGATGAGTCATACTGGTAACTAGCACTGCTCAAGGATAAATTCAACCAATACAAAACTAGTATGATAAAATTTGACATAAAATTCATATGACGTTTTTAACAAATACGAATCATACGAAACGAATAATGCGATTGCGGGGAGGTTTCATCAGTCTTTTGTTTCAAAAAGGAACCAAAAGAATTAGAATTGAGAGGTTTTGATTTAAAGCGTATAAATAAACGTTGACTTTGACATTCGAGATGATATATAGGGTTTTGAAATTTTTTAGCTTTTTGTTGTCAAAATATTTCTTGTGATGTCAAACATGAAAAGGAGCATAGTAACTATGGAATAGACATTAGACACCAAAGTCCAAACCTACAGTTTAAAATAATAATTGCTATATAGTAATAAACTGATAGACGGGTTTACAGTATCTTCAACCAGTATCACCGCTGTGCACTGATACAATGAGAACTCTGAGCGTTTGGTGTGCACTAGCAGCCGTATTTGCGTATGGGGCTTCCAGTGTATCTGCAGCGGCTCCTAAACGGCAGATAGATATACAAACTGCAGCAGCAACCGAGCCTACTGGTGCAGCGGAGACTGGTTCACCCGTGAGTGAATACAATGGGGTGCTGTATAGCTCTCACGATGAGATGAATAGCAGACTCAAAGCAGTGGCAGATAAGTGTGAGGATATCACACAAGTATACTCAATTGGTAAATCAGTTGAGGGACGAGAACTGCATGTGATCGAATTCTCGACTTCACCTGGTATGTGAACGTAAACAAACATGCAAATATACACAACTAATATATATATATATATATATATATATATATATTATATATATATATATATATATATATATATATATATTATATATATATATATATATGTGTGTGTGTGTGTGTGTGTGTGTGTGTGTATGTATATATATGTATATATATATATATATGTGTGTGTTTCTGTGTGTGTATCTGTCTTATTGTAAATGGGAGTAGGTGGGCTGGTGGGTGTGTGCGTGGGTATGTGTTTCTTTGTGTATCTGTGTACACACACACAAATTTATATATATATATATATATATATATACATATATATATGTGTATATACATAAATATATATATATATATATATATATATATATATATATATATATATACTATTATTATATATATAGTTGTGTGTGTGTGTGTGTGTGTGTGTGTGTAGTGTATNTNTTCTATNTATCTATACTAACTACTACTAGTTGTGTTGTTGTTTACTTACTTACTTAATCGTTTTA